AGTCCAACAAGCTGTGTCCGTGCTGACGTCATTGGTCCAGTTCGGGTGGGCGTCGCAAAATCGAAAGTCGGCTGCCTTCAAAAAGATGAGGGCGTTGGAAAAGGCGCGCAGTCCCAGATTCGAATTTCGAAATTCGAATTTTGGCATGCGAGTGAAGGCGCGCCGTGGGCGTCCGAAACAGCTGACTGCAGCAACGTTCGTCCGCGGACGTGTTTGGGTACGGGGTGGCGGCTACATGTTGGCGGGCACGACGAACGTACATGTAGACATCCGAAGCAGCAGACACACCGTCACACGATCGTCGTCGTTGTCGTCTTGCCAGGCGGACCTTCGTCATCGACGTCTACACCATGTACTCTGGTCGTCACTCGTGGCATTGTTGTACTGTGCCCCAACGGTGGAGTGTTGTGAAGTTCGCAACGTCCATGTCGACAGAAGCAGTATCGGCTATTGGACATGAACGGTGAGGCAGGCCGTGACGTGCTGAGCACGGCGGAGAGGACGGCGGTGGCGGCGACCGTGAACGTCATCCTTTTCCGCTATCAGATGGAGAGGAGTGAGGGGAGGATGAGAGCGGGGGTTCGCGCACAGCGGAAGAAGACGCTGCAGTCCATGAATTTGGAGGGCTTCGACTGTGTTGCCATATGCGACGCCGTGCTGCAGGTGTGCTACGCCATGGGGTGCAAAGCTTTTTCCAGAGCGACGCCCAGGTGGTGGATGAAGCGACAGACAGGGGGAACGTGGGAGGATCTGCGGCAATGCGACGGCACAACGACCAACCACTTCAGGGAGATGTTGCGCATGTCGCCACGTGTGTTCCGAGAGATCGCAGAAGCTCTGTCTCCTTTCCTGCAATGACGTGTCAATTTCTATAGGGAGCTATTACAGCCTGACCACATTGTCGTGTACGCTTTGTACCGGTGGGCGTCGGGGGAGACGTACGAGAGCGAGACATGCAACTTCGGCATTGGCAGATCATCTAACTTGGTGGCTGTGCGGGACGTGACTGCGGCGTTGCTGAGTGCGTACCCTGACAAGATATCGTGGCTGACGGGGCTGCTGAAGGCGGTTGTCTTGCTCGCTTTCGCTGACAAGGGTTTCCCGAACTGCCATGGGTGCATCAACTGCACCCACATCTACATTGGCAAGCCCGCGAACGCCCCCGGGGAGGACTACTACGATCGAAAACGCCATTTCTCCGTCCAGGAGCAGGTGGTCGTCGATCTGAACTTGCGCGTGCTCGACGTGTTCGTCGGTTATTCGGGAAGTTGCCATGACGTCAAGATCATCCACCTGTTAAGTTTATGGTCGCGCGCGGAGGGAGGGGAACTTTTCACCGGGCCACCTGTCATGATTCCTTTCCAAGTGCAGACGAACGGGTATTTGCTGGGCGACAACGATCATCCCGCCTCTGAATGGGTGGTCGTCCCGTATGGCGGTCTCGCAACGCACCCGTCGGAGTTGCGCTTTGACAACAAACAGAAGACAGCGAAGGGGGCAGTTGAGAGGGCTTTCGGCAGACTGAAGGGGATGTGGAGGTTGTTCCTTCGCTCCCATAAGACGAACATGGACACATTGCCGCAACAGTTGGTCGTCGTCTGCATTCTGCACAACATACTGATCGACGCGGACATCCCATTCGATGACAATCTACTGTGGGAGGTGGGCCCTGACGGTGTGCGTCGCTGGGTGGATCTTGGGATGCACCGACCCGTGAGGCCGATGTGCATGGAGTCATCGACAGGGGACGCGCTGATGCTGCGGCACGCACTGGCGGAGCGAATGAGTATGGAGTGAAGACGGTTTGGGGAGTTAGGGGGGGCAGGAGGAAGGTGGGGGAAGTGGGAGCGGGGG